CTCTCGGACTAGAAATTTCCCCTTTCGACTTTTCCAGTAAAGGTTTTATAGATTTCGCTAAAAAGTGGAACTAAAATATTATTTTTATTCTATCTACTCAAACTAATGACACATAAAATCATGTGAAAATTATTCAAGATAAATTATGACTCTAATCTAAGCCTAATTACTGATTATTTCTCATTTGATGGAACTTTTTCGAATAGCTGAAATAAATAAAAGTTCCTTAGAACGTTTATTTTTAGTACTTTTTTTCTTTAATGTTTCTCAGGAACTGTTAAAATAGAACTTATTAAAAAAGTTTCAACTCCTGGAGAAAAGTATTATAATTAAATTAATAAAATTTTAGAAATTAATACAATAGATGAGATTAATTACTAAAACTGATAATTACTTCTTAACCACAGATAAAGTTTGAACAACTTGGAGGCCACTATTACTTTTATGCTTTCAGATTTACTAAGGAAGAATGGCATGAGAAGAAAGAAAAATCTTAGATGGCTTATGTTTATCTCTTTTGAATTAGTATTCTTCGCTTTTCCCACCAGAATTTTCACACCTTAGACTACCACTCATGGGTTATATATAGCTAGAGGAAACGTGTGACTTCATTGGAGCCATTCTTTACAAATTAATCCACTTCGACAGTACCTTGAAAATTTAAAGTTTCAAAATAAACCAAAGAGGAATACCAGCATTGAGTCAAAGGTTATGGATCCAAAAATTAGAGCGATGATATATTGGCTTGAGGTGGTAGGAAAAAAAATTGAATGATTCATTAGGAACGACGGGACTAAAAAATAGCGTAGCTATAGTGATCAGGTATAAATTAGAACATGACGAGGGGCCATGAATTGAAACACAGCCACCTGAGGGCGACCTAATTGAAACTCCTCTGATTTAGTGCTTTTTGCCGCCCTCGCGGTGAAATATTCCCGCCGGCGGGCTTTTGTACCCCGCCATAAATCTTGCTCTTCGATGATTGGCTCCTATCATTTATTTACGTGGCGGCTTTGAACTCGCTGCCAGTGGAAAAATTAAATCATAAATATTTCTCCTTTGTTTTTTATTTTCTGAGGGAGCCCTTTATCTGTCTTTGTCATGTGTACTATGTTTATTTTATTTCATCATGTATTGATTTCTGCCCCCCTCCATCATAAAACAGCCCTTTATTCAAATAACATTGTCTTTGTTTTTGGCCCTATGGTTGGACAAGCGCAAATTGAATACGAATCAAACTGTACTAAAGCTCTCTTTAAATAATAAATTACGGCTTAAAAAGAGACGAAAAATATCCTTTGGGAGGCTTCAGTTCTACTTAATTTATCCTACTTATTTATATTACTTTGCATATCTTACCATCATTAACAATTTTTTTTGTTCAAAAAACTGAATGGATTTTTAAGTTAAGCCCATGGCCCAAATTCCGTGGAACTCCGTTAGTGGTTTGAAATAATCTGAGCTAAAAATACTAACCCGTGATGGAATAAAATGAGTTTAATTAATTTGCTAAAATATTGTACCGATTTTTTTAAAGAAAGGCTGTAAGTTTAATATCTTTAATTATTCAGTGACATCCCTACGTGTGAGTGTATTGAAACGATTTTTAAAGGAAACTGCAGAATAAAATTTTTTTGACAAACTACCACTGTGTTTAAATTTTTTTTAACGATTTAATTGAATGTTCATCAATGATTAAAGATTTTAAGGGTAAGGATGAGAGATCATCAATTTCATTTATCTTAATTTTAAATTTTAGTTGATAAAATCTTTTTAAAAAAATATATTGTAGCATCGTAAAATTTTTTTATAATAATTAATTATTAATTTTAAATTTTTTTACTAACGACAATTAAAAAAAAAGAAGTGCAAATTATAGATAAGAAAGTAATCAAATTACATTGTCTGATGAAATGCCTGATTGTAAGATCTGATGAAAATTTGCAAAAGACAGATCAACATTTTCTTGAATTTTAAATTTATTTCATTACCATAAAGTCATTTTTATCTTTCTAAAAGACATCTTTGATAAATTAAGGAATACATATCCAATATTTACTACAAACAGATGTACAAGTAAACCTCCATTATATATTCTCGATCAGAGCTTGTAAAAGGTATTTGGTATCTTCGCTGTTATTTCAGATTTGGAGAAGTACTCCTCAAAATGCAGGATCCTACTGAAACTAAATGAGCTTTATTTTCTAATTAGTAAACGAGCCATAAATTATATAATCAAGTGACGCATATTTCATTATAGCCTAACTACAGGGACTTGTAGAAGCTTATCACTGAAAACCATTTTTGAAGAGAAGAATAGTTGGGGTGCTCAGTCAAAAAAGAAAGGCAAAAAATAAATTATAATATTTATTTTTTTTTTTTACATATGCCGACGTTTCAACCTGAAGTTCAGGCCTTCATCAGGGCTTTCTCCTTAAGTGTCAAGGGGAGAAATTTTACATTTTTGTTAACTTATCTGTCAATGATTATATTGCTAGCTAAGGATATTCCTTTGCTTAAGTATTTGGATTGAATTAGATACACATCAAAACAAGTGTCATAATTGCAAAATTCTCTGATCAGTTTCAACAATTAATCTGATTGTGAATTCTCGTTTATAGTTGTTGAAAAGAAACGAGTTGACATCATGATATATATATACAAGCCACTGTGCTGTAGTCGTGGGAATCCACCCCTGCAGACGAATATTCTCTCATATAAATAATTTAATATCAAAATGGGTCGATGTTGCGACTCTGCTAAATTCATTAGATGTACAACAGACCCCCTTTTGGGCACCCATACTATATTTATGCCCTGTACTTTCGAAATAATCAATATATTATTCTTTTCGAAACAATCAAAAAACATTATTCGGTCTCCCTGTTCCCTCGAAATCTCGAAAAGAATAGTAGTTGTTATCAGGTCTAGAAAATATGCATAAGCAATGAACAGTTCTGTTAAAAAAAAAAACAAGCATCGAACATTTTTCCAACGCTTATTTATTTTTTATGTAAATAAGGCAAAATTCTATTTCAAATCTATATACATTTTATAATATAATTCATAAAGTTTTAATAAGATTAAAAAAATTAATTCTAAACCTTAGTTTATGTTTTCCGAAATAAAAAAAAACACTGCTTAGCGCAAAGCTGCGCGAAATTTGACGAATATTACTTTAAAAATGCTACAAAATGAAAAAATTAGGTTGTAGAGGCGGGATACCGGGAACGATATTTGACAGACCATTTATGTATTTCAAAAAATTGATTTAAGCCATTTACATGCATTTGTAACCGATATCAAACTGGTTGAACCTAAATTAATCTAGTGAAAAAGAAAGATAATTAACTGAATTATCAAAAGCAGTCTTAAGCAATAACGCACACATGCTCTGATTCAGACAATAAATAAAGTAATGCTGGAACTATTTGTCAACTGGTGAAACTGAAGGCTTCTCGCCTAAACCTCTGTCTTCCGTACTCTACTGTGAGAGTTTAAACGAACTTTGAAAATTTACTAGGCCACTTTTTAGGTCACCAACTATCTATACAAAAAGTTGATGTATTACATTTCTCATATTTTGAAAGTTGTTTTCGTCTTCCTTGATCGGCCCCACTGTGGGCCGAGATGACTACAAAGTATGACGGATCAAAGACGAACGACCCACTCCATATATATATATCCTAGCAAGTACTGAGGAAAAGATGGTAGTCTCAGGGATGCATTGAGAATTATTCATCCTCCGAAAATCAGCTAATCACTGATTCTTTAAAAAGAGCTGCTTTTGCTTAGAGTCGGGGATGCTCGAGATTGCCATTCACCAAGAAATATATCTACTTACAATTGATAACTCTGGCAGAGGGAGGGAATAGGTTAATCGTGATTTACTTGACACAACTGTAGTAATAAATTGGATTATCTTTAAAGTGAAAACTACATTAGTGCGTTTTGCACTTTCTTGCGGAGGGTGAATTATATTGAGCCTATTGAGCCAGATTTCCTATGTGTATCTTCCAGGTAAAGTCGGCTAGAGTCGATTAATTGAAGTGTTTTTGCATAAATCAATTGGGTTGCATTTTCGCAAAAATTAGGTTTTTTGGATTAAAATATCTGATTAACTAAAAATCGGACCTGCATACTGTAAGTTGTGTTGCCCAAATGCGACACCAAGACGAGCCTTGGTCTTGCAAACTCTGTCTTGGTCATGGTCTTGGTCTTGTGCAAGAGTCTCGCAGTTACTTATTAGCTTATTACTATAGAGATATTACGGTAATTTTTTAGATAGGAGAAACCTAACTAAGCCTGAATGAATTTAAGCCCGATTTAAATGCAAACGTATATTGGTTATACCAATTATTAACATATAATAACTAAGATTGTCAAGCATTAGTAACTTTTTTGCCTTAATTTTTATTAAAAATTCCTGGTCTTGGTCTTGCAACAGTTAGGCGGCCTTGGTCTTGATCTTGCAAAATACAAGACCAAGACCGATTTTGAGCAACACTAACTGTAAGCGAGTGTTCAACATCTCATTCTGTGTGAAATAGGCGATTATTCAAAATTCTATCTTAACCCGACGCCGTGTTAGGGAGGCGAAAAGGAAAAAAATAGTGTCGAAAACTAAATGATAACGAATTTTACTAAAAATATGGATTAAAATATCTCAGAAACTAAAAATCGAACCTGTATACTGTAAGCGAAGGAAACGTTCAGTATTTCATTCTCTTTATAATGAGTTATCATTTATAATTTATATTCCATATAATTAATCTCGCCTTGGTGAAGTTTTCATTTCTATCTTATTTTTTTTCTTTAACCACTTACCCGTAAAAAAAAAAACTATTTTAATCAGTAGGTGGACAAGTCATCTAAGTTCAAATCTAACTAAGCTATACAAAAAGAATAAGAAATATATGGATAACAAATAATGTGTATAGCTACCAGACTCCGTTTTTGAAGCATGGTACTGTAGCTGTTAAGCAATTGATATAACGACTCTTGACACCGGATTGGTGGGGGACATATATATATTTGCCTTCATCCAGTTGCCATTGAGTTGCGGAACGATGCAGGCCTGCAGGGTGTCTTTTCTCTTGGCTTTGCTCTTGCTAGTCGAAGCGGGATGGTGCTCAGCGAGCAACATTTTGGTTATATCAACGGTAGCTTCTCCAAGCCACAGCATTTGGTGTAATAAACTGGCACAACTGTTGGTGGACAGGGGACACACGGTAGACCATATCAAATATCTACATACTTATTAAATACTGATAAATATTAAAATTAATTTAAATATAATAATTTCATACTGAATTGAAAGTTGTATTCGATTCATTTTTAATGATTTTAGTACGTATAAACGTTAATTTTAGATTTTTTTTCTGTACTTATTTTTTAAACATGACGTTATAACTATTTTTCTCTTTAAGACTTATTTCTTATAAGTTCAGGGCTTTTTTACCATTGATAGTCTCTTTTCTTTTAAAGCTTTATTTGTAGGGAAGCTTTCGGTGCTTCGGTAACACCTTATTCATCTCTATAATTATAATACTCCGATTAGAATAAATTAACAATTAATTAATAACATTAACAATATATGTATAATATAATTTTTGAAATGTCATGCAATTATTATCAAACCATTCCTTTTATTAGTTTTGTCTGTTTAAAAAACATAAAGAATAAGAACATTGTTCTTGTTCTTCGTCTCATGTCAACTTTCTCGGAGAATAGGACTCCTCTTTGTCGGACACCATCTTACTGAACCCTAGCGGATCCAGGATTTAATTTAGGGGGGGGGGAAGGCTTCAGCCCGAAAGATTTTTTTTTTCATATATATAACGTTAATTAATTTAAAAAAGAAAACGCTGCAAATTATTTCACAATGGTTTATTATTTTTAAACAACTATACATCTAAAGTAACATTACCTCCCTAGTTACAAAGAAAAATAAATAAAAGGTGATTCCAATTATTGGACTAAAATTTTTTTTAATCATTAGTAATATGCCAAAAAATAGCATTACTTCAGTAACAAATTCAAAATTTAAAAACCAAACAAAGGATATAACATTTGGAGTAGAACATATAAAAAAAAAACTGGAGACCATATCTTTGCTCCTAATTTTCCGATTTTAACTTATTTCATTATTTTTTGATTTTTAGGAAATTCCGTAAAGTTTAAAAAAAACATATACAATATCGACAAAAAGTTCGTTGCTATAGACTGTAGCGCCTATTCATCTATAAATTTGAACTTTTCTAATTTATTAAAATAATCTGTGATCATTTTATTTAAATCTTTTTCGTGGTCATACCTAACGGTTTTATACACGTACTTGTCATTTTATAGATCTATCTTCCTATTATACTGCTCTTTGAGAATAATTTTTTCGTCTTATCTGTTTTAATTAAATATAATTCTGGATTATTATTAACTAATGTTTTCGTACTTTTAAAATTCGATTTTATCATATTTTTAAATGGAATAATATTTTCAGATTGTGATTTAAGATTTTTTTTTAATTGTGAACTTTTGTTGTTTCCTTTATTATTATTTTGTCTTCATTAATAAAATTAAGTACGTATTTATTTATATTATTTCTAAGAGCATTTTTATGAGTATCTGGCTTATCAATGTCATCCAGTACACTTTCTAAATCAGGTAAAAAAAATCCTGAACTTAGAAGAACATAAAAAACAGTCTAAAATTACCTATTTCTTATAAAACAATAGATCTGCAGGCCTTTAAGTTAGTAAGGTCAACCGATATCATAAGAAAATAACCTAACAAAACTTACAGTTATTCCAAATCGTTACCAACTATGTTTTAACAATTCCGGATTTATTTTTATTTAAAACGATAAAATACCCAGGAGAGGGTCACATAGGGCAGGCTGCTCGATAAAAATTTTAATAGCAGTAGACATTTTTATGAAAATCGAAAATTTTCTAGGGGGGATTCTTGTGATGGAGGTTATAATTATTTTAATTTAAATTTGTGGGAACTTTTGAACCACATAATAAGGCGAAAAACATGAACCAGATCATTGAAAGTGTAATTATATAATGGTGTAGATCTTTTCTAATTTTATTTTTTCTTATATTATTTTTAAGAAGATAGCAATACAATTTTTTGGGAGAGAGGTATGCGCCAAGGGTTTTGGAGTATCCCTTAAAATGGAGAAGTAGTGTATTCAGGAGAGCGAAAAGACAAATGGGAGCATTTAGTCGGGGATTCGTGCTTGTCTTCATTTGACAAAAAGGAAAGGAGGACCAGTATAGGTTAGCCTGATTAAGGTTTGATCAAAGACCGAAACAGGTGGCACAGAAAAAAAACATTATAGAAAGACAAAGTCTTTTGTATTAAATTTATGTAAATTTTATTTAATGGTATCACTGATTGCTAAAGACATACAGTATTGAACGTTAATGGCTATGTATGCGTGTAATAATGGATAAGTATAGGTGTACAGATAATATAGTTGATAATTAGTAAAACGTACTTTATGAAATCACCACAATATTTATTGGTATCTGCCATAGAAAATGGCTATAAGTGAACTCAATGTTAATTTCATAAACGCTTGTTAGATATAGTGGAGGCCATCCTCAACAGATTCCATCACTTGATTCTGTTTCATCTTGAAAAATGATCCTTTATCCATACCCTTGCTCTTCTTCCCGTATTATTGGATTGCTTTTATTATCAATCTCATCATTTTATATTTGAACTTCTTGTATTCTTGTAATTATGTATTTTTTGCTTTACAATCCATATAAACTCTTTGCTAAGGTGAATAAAAGTGATCTCTAGCTTCTTCCCCAAAAAGTTGTCAAGATACTTTGGTAAGATGTTTATAAAGAGAGATTAGTCAATAAAAATTTATTCTCCAAACTGGAATTGACATTTCACTTGAAGTACCTGCTCACTTTACTAATGTAGGAGATCTAAAATGTGTATTTATTTTTGAGAATCACCTTGTCCGTCCCTCTACTCTTTGAATGGTTTCAATCTTCAGTTTATGGATACTGGGTGTTTTCCAGGAAGAAATAACATAATGATTTAAATGTTCGAATACGAAGAGCAAGTCAAGCAAAGAATTTAGGCAGCTACACAACGCCAAATCACATGATCTATACTATGAGTATTAACGCACTAAAAAACAAAGATATTGACGAATTCCCAAAAAGGAGAGGAGGACATGAAAAACAATACAATCAGCTTTGAGCAGTATGTTTATCTAGTCCATAGGCCATATGAATAAAAATAGAACAGAAGAAATAAATAGAATCATAAACTTGGGATGTAAAAAATATTTTAGCCTAAAAAACATATTTAAAAGTCAAATAATTTCAGACATCAAGGTGAAAGTACTAGAAAAATGTGTGTGTCCAGTAATACGGAGCACAGACGTGGTCTACAACCTGAAAAAAACATTATAACCTTATTAGAACCAAATTATTATTTTCCCGCAGCATGCTAAGTATTAAAAGGAAAGACAAAAATCAGCAGCTTAAGAATCCAAAGCCAGGTGGAGCTTAAAACCCTATCGAAAGAAGCTGTTGAAATGGAGATGGGCTTTCCACGTAGACAGATTGGACTCAAGAAGGTGGTCGAAATTTGCCACGGAATGTGTCCCAAAGATTAACATGATAAGAAGAGAAAGACCTTTAACGAGACGGAGAGACGAAACAGTGCATAGAGTGGGTGACGGTGGCAAGAAATAGAGATAGTTGGAATAAAATATTAATATCAATTAAACAAAGAGCTTCGTATTAATTTTGTTTTGAAAGTTAATTCTGTTTTAATAATTTTAAATATTTTTTAAAGAAGAAATTTGTAATTTATATTTTTTTGTTAAAAAGACACTCTTATCTCTATCGGAGGATCTTTATGTTCTAAGAATAAAGCTGATATTATTACTATTTCAGCTACTACAGTTTTTTTTTTAAATTTAACATGTTACTGGATACCACACTACAATTTTGTATATAGTTCTTACCTTTTTAAATGTGATGTGTCTTTTTAGTGTTAATTTGAGATGTGATGAATTCAGTCAAACGTGACTAATTGGTTGCGTGGTTGGTCAAATGGTTGTTTGACTAATTTTAGAGAACAAGTCCTGTGAGTGTTTTGATTGTTATAACCAATTATAATCCAACAATGAATTCCCATGTTAAATTATTTATATGGTTAATAAAATCCTATAGAGGATATATCCGTATTACGAAAATAAAATAGTCGACTACCAAGCTGGATCCAGAAAAAGAAGGTAATGCTGGACCTGATTTTTATCCGAAAACAAGTGCTCGAAAAATTGGAGGTAAATAGCTCATAGTGTGCGTGCAGCTCTTAATTTCCGATTTAAAATTATACTAGTATTCCATGTACAGAAACTATATCTGGAAGATACTGATTTGGTGTTTTCCAGTTATTTTGGTGAGATACATGAAGGCGTGTTCAAATGAACCTAATTTAAAGGGAAGTATCTGAGGCCTAAGTTCGAGCTAGTTTGTAAATTCTCACCGATGCTGTTCAACTTAGTTCTGAATAAGGTGATTAGTGAATAATAAAATCCTAGGATGTAGAGATGATATAGGACCTGATATGATACATCAAGAGGACATCACTATACTCGCTAAGACTCTGATAACGGAAGCAGATTAAAATGACTATTAAGTAAATCAAGATCAAATCTAAAGTCTACACCAGTAATAGGACTTATGTTGATGGCAAATATTTCCTAAGAGTAAGCAGATCCGTGTATACACATCATCAATATCATGACCTCAATAAATGTCCAATGTTCAGAAATATACTAACATGTAAAAGGCCTTTATCAGACCTTTTCTCTATCAAAGGTATTTTATCTCATTAATAGAGATTAATATCTCCATAAATCTCTGAAAATCTCATATTAAGAGTGCACACTGCTATGAAAAATCCAATTCTGAAACAAGGTTGCAAGTCCTAGACACAAATTTCTAATCGGAATGATCTGGGATAAGAGAACTTTTGCACAGAAGAGAAGGACCAATAAATAACTGCTTACAGAACATGGTCAATCAATATCTCATGATATAAAGTTAAGAATTAATAAAGACGTAACAGAAAGGTATGCAATAATCTGTAGCCCAAGATCGACAGAAGTGGAGAAGGCTGGTTCAGGTAGCCAATGACAAGGAAAAAATAATAGATTTATTTGAAGAATCAAACTGTCTCATATAATGTCATTGTTTTTATAAATAGTTAACACTTTTAATTGTCTTTATGTAATATTGGATAATTTCAGTTCTTATGCATTCGAGACGATAGTATACGATCGTTCATTATATAACACATAAGAGATAAATATACGTTAATTGAAGATAAGATAAATTCATATCTTCTGTCTGTTCCTATTAACTTATGTCTGTTTACATATGAATTAATTTTCAGATTAGAGAGATAAAGTTGATTTGTTTATTTACTTTTTACAATTGAAGTTAATGGTCCTTGTGGTAAAATAGTAAATTCATTTTTGTTATATAATTTGTAATTGTTTCAACATTATAAGTAATAATTTTTTAATTTATATGTTACATATATATTTCGTAACTCAAATATAATGTCCAACAATTTTAAATTTACTAATGCCTACTTAATTTGTCGTTTTTTTATGTTGAAACATCCAGATTTTAAAAAGATGAGTTATATTCAACGCCGATAAATTCATGTTAATCATTATTATTTAATTAAAACTTATATAAATATATATTTATTCATAAATAATATACATTTGAGTCAATAAATATTGTGACTCTGAAATTATTTTTCCATTAACAAATACCGAACGACCATACAAAGGTTTTTAAATTTCGATGTGTTTTGGTGCAATATGTTGCCATTAAAATAGTATAATGATGGTTTTCGTTGTATTAGGGTATATATTGTCAGGGATGCTGCATAATATTCGTATACTGTTTTCAAAGAACCCCCATCTTCTTTACTTTTTTTCTTCGTTGTTTGTTAATAAAACCAAACAATAATCGACAATACAATTCAAAATGTCGGTATAAAGTTTACTTAATACAACTATTTTTGACCGATTCCAGACTTTACTATTGAGCATAGGTAATCTATCAAAAAAAGTATCATAAGGTTATAAAAATAAATAATCTTTCAATCATATATTTTAAATGGATTTAGTTGACAGTTTACAATTTTTTAGGTCACAATACTGGATACAGATCCTCCGAGGAAGAAGTTGGCGAACTTGACGACTTATACATTAGAAGGAGGTTACGAATACGCGGATGACTACCTTGACTACACGAAAGTATCCAAAGAAGATTCTCCAGTAGATGCCATCGATTTTTTTCATGACGCCAGCCAAAGAAGTTGTAATAAAATGCTGTTATCTCCAACTTTCAAACGTTTCTTAACCGAACACTCGAATAAAAAGAAACCATTCGATTTGATCATCCACGACATCACCAACTGCGAGTGCTTCTTGGGACTTGTACCTTTCTTCGGGAATCCAAAACTAGTATTAGTGACGGCCTTCGCTGAGTCCCAGGCCCTCTATGTGATGGGCAGCCAGGGCCATTTGATTCAATCTCCACAGCAGGTCACCCATTTCAGCCATCCGATGAGCTTCGCCGAAAAACTGCAGAATCTGTTCTACAACCTTTATAATTATTATAGGTATCACAAATATGTGAATTTCTTAGATGCTTCTTCAAAAGATGTCTTGGGAAAATCGAATCCTCACGTCCTGGAGATAGCGAAGTCAGCTGCTGTGGCACTCGTCAACGCACACCCTATCATCGACACTCCGAAGTACTATAGTCCTGCAATAATCCATATACCAGGATTCCACATTGATGAAACAAAGAAGCTTGATGCGGTAAGTAGCTTTAAAACACGATGTGCAACTTAAATAGTTATTATTCAGTAACATTTTTAAAATCCATAATTTCATATTTAACAATATTGTATAAAAATGTGAATAACTGTTAATATAAAGTGTCACTTCCGGTTAGTCGATTTAACGAAAAAGTTGCTGTCATGTGCAAAGCATATACCTGTCTTATATACGTAATATCAGTTTCGTAAATCTTTTCGTTTTTGAGCTAGACTGATCACATACAGACACACAGCCACACAGACCATTTTGTGGGACTTAGTTATTTAGATTCAGGGAACCTCGAAACGTGTATTTCCGTTGAAAACTTAGATTCGAAAATTTTCACGATCGCGATGCTTTCCTTACTATATATTACGTATATGTAAGTAAAAGTAAAAATTAAAATCCGTTAAATTTAAAATTATATATAGGCAAAATTTTATTTTATTTACATATATTATACCAAATAAATCTAGAGATTCTATTATATCAGAATTTTAAGACCAACTGCTATGATTTTTCCATATTTAATCTCTAATTTTAGTTATTTGTTTATAATATTTGATAACTTTCCTTATACATATTGATATGTTTTTATTTTATTTCATTTATTTATTTTCTCATAATGGACTCCCTTAAATAGTCTCGGGAGTATATAATATGGATAAAAATTATGAGTGATAATTAACATAATCAACATAATTATTGTAAATTGAGCAATATAATAATATATAAATATAAACTCATATAACTATATATTTATAGATTATTTTGTTTTGCATAAGGATATATTTGAAAATACTTTAACAAAGCAATTGAATATATTACATATTTTCATTTTTGTATAAAAGTTCGAGGTTGTGAGATAAATTCAGTTTTCCAATAATTTAAATTTGCTTTGGGAAATGTGATAAAATCGTTAGGTAAAAATGAAAGGTTCCACCTGAATGAATCTTAAAATCTTAGCGTATATTGCTACATATAATTATCATTGAATATAAAGTAAAATTTAAATAATATGAACATAGGGTGTGTTGAAATACTTGCGTTCCTACTTCTAGCCCTTAGCTTATATAGTTGATTTTTCCTATTTTCTTAATTGATTTTAGTTTACTTGTTTTTTTACTGATTTTGATTTTATTATTGTTTCAAAACATTGGCAGATGAAATGATATTCTGTTCCCCTCTTCATTTAGATCCAATGATATTGTACCATCACATAAATATGACGTATACCCAAGAATTTTGGTTGAATTTTAAAAATTACAATATTTTTTTTTTTAGGAGACTCAAGAATTTCTGGATGGTGCAAAACACGGTGCTATTTATTTCAGTCTTGGTACAAATCTTCACAGTTCATTGATGTCAGAAGATAGGATTAATATTTTCCTGAATGTGTTTAAAAAGTTAAAACAAAGAGTTTTGTGGAAATTCGAGGTACCCAATATCAAAAATTTGCCTGAAAACATCAAGATATCAAAATGGTTTTCACAGAATGATGTATTAGGTATTTATTAATTTGCTCAATTAATTAAGTACATTCTTTCTTCTTCATCTCACTCTAAAACATAATAATAATAATGAAATAGAAAAATGAAATAATTGTACAGAATTATTGGCATACATAATAACATTATAGCAATATGTAGAGATTAAAAATTGTTTATACTGTCAGAATAAGGACTAAAACATTCATATATATTTCAGCTCATCCAAACGTAAAATTATTTATCAGCCATTGTGGGTTGATGAGCACTCAGGAAGCTATATATCATGGAGTTCCAATTATATCAATGCCGTTTTGGATGGATCAACACTCTCTAACAAGAAAATTATTGAAGAAAGGAGTTGCTATTCCATTATCATATGCTGAATTATCAGAGAACTCAGTTCAAGAAGCTATTGAAAAAATCCTAACAAATAATAGGTATGTGAACTATTTCTATGTATTTCTGACACACTTTGTAACAACTATGTGTAATTTTTTTGAACTAATTATAAAATAAATTTGGAAAATATTCACCTATCCTAATCTTGCTAGATTACTAGTCTATAATTCAAACATGTTTAGCCTGAGCATTGCACGTTAAGATAGTGAAGGTAGCACCAAATTGAATTGGAAATTGAGAAAGTTCCTGGAGTTTTGTTATTTTGAAAAATATATTAACTATGTATGAACTACCAAATAAATAAATAAATATTATTGTTTGTTTAATTAAATTTAATAGGACTTCAAGGATCACTTATTAAATGCCATTTCATATAGATAATTAGAATCTTTCTTTTTTTACAAAGTATTTATCGTTACTTATATGAAAAAAAAAAAAGCTTTCAAGCTGAAGCCCCCCATAAATTAAATCCTGGATCCGGTAGTGTCTTGGGCTGTTACAGTGTTCAAGCTATGATGTGATATTGTGTGGTTATTGTGCTTGCCATCACAATGCCTTGCTGTACCTGGAGGTACAGACATTATAGCATCAGTCAGCATCATGGATTCTGATCACGAGCGGATCCAAGATTTAATTTTGGGGTGGCTTAAGCCCGAAACCTTTTTTTTTTTCATAAAAATAACGATAATTACTTTGGAAAACAGAAAGAAACTAACTACTAACTAATGGTGTTTAAGTTATTCCTTAAGTACTTTTAAATGTAATTACACGAACAATAATACTTTAAGAGGTATTTTATAATTTTTTTTTTCCTATAAAACATGGTTATATTTTTCCATTTTGGGAGGGCTTCAGCCCGAAAGCCTCCCCCCCCCCAGTAGATCCGCCCGTGATTCTGATACAACATTTACATAACAACTGCTGATTTAAGATTGAGTCATGCCTAATAACTTTAATATTAGATTATTCTGTAAATAGAAAAAATCAATCTGATTCTGCAACCTTCAATATCTTAAGTAAAAACTCTATTAATCTGAATAAAATAAAAAAAAACAAATTCTTTATATGTACTTTGCAGCCCACACCATTGTTAATTAATATCAATTGAATCATATTAAGATAGTAGTTGGATTAATAATAGTTCATTTTAGTTGTTCACAATATCTAAAATGAATTTTATTCAGCTAAAGTTTAAAAAAAATTAATTATGATTCTTTATAATATTATTTGTATGTAATAATGAAAATAACATTTGATCCAAATATTCCTAGTATTATTGTATTGGATGTTTTAGCCCTTACTAATTCCAAAGGAAGAAACAGTTTAACCAATAAAAGCGTCACAGGCTTATTAATTATACCTTAGATCATTAGTTATTTTCATTATCCATTTTATATTTATATACCTTTAATGTAAAAATGAAATCATGTGGGCTAAATTGCCCTTGTCATAACACTGAATTGCCTATTGCTAAAACTCATAAAGTTGTGTTTATTTAAACATTTTCTATTGTCACTTTAATCCATTTCAACTTAAATTTTTCTAATGAATTATCCCTCTGTATTGTTAAACTAGTTCAAAACTATATATTATAAATAATGACATTTTACTCAGAGCCATATAATTAATTCAATTTATTATTAATTTTTTTACTAAAAATCATAATTTTTATTTCTATTTCCTAAATTTAGTTTTTACAATTGATAATTTTTTTTTTTATATTTACAATTTAATACTTTTGTTTTCTTCATGCCTGATTTGCGATTTTCCAAATTCACAACAGCACACATGATTATTGTCTAATTCATGACAGGTGCAGATTAAGATACGAAGAGAACATCGTTCATGTTTACTTTAGGTATTTTGGTTCAGGTTCATGTTCAGTTTTAATTTTCTTAGGTAAAGCAACGGACATGCTTATTAAAGAAGCATTAGGAATAAGAACGATATAAGAAATATTTTATTGAAAATCGACCTGAAGAATAATGATTTAAAGGCCTCCCAATTACTGTCACCAAGCTTGAGCTAATTGGACCTTTTTAGTATATAAAATAGACATTTATAGCTAATAAAGTGTTTTTCACTACTGAAGACCACAACAGTAAAATGACATTAATTTAGAAAAAAAAAAATTGTAAATCGCTCATATTTCTTAGCTCTGAGACCAGCTTGAAAGTGAAATTAGAGGAACAATGCTTATTGAAAGATATATCTATTGACTATAATATAAAACCTAATATTATACTACATAACTATATTAGCTTTTATACTATTTAAGTATAGTACAAAAGCTAATTTTATAATCAAATGGAATACAAGAGAGGTCTATCAAGCCAAGGTTGACGGGAAGAGAGAAAAAGGTCGACCAAGAAATAAATGGGAAGATGAAGTAAAGAAGGATTTTTTAAAAAGAGGACTTCAATGGAATGAGAGAAGACCTTTGGTGGAAGACCAGCAGAGCTGGAGAAAGCTCTATAGACTTCCTCCTCACACTACATAGACGGTACTAGAGGAGAGAATATGATGATGATGATGATGGAATACAACTAAATGTTAAAAAAATAGCTAATTCTAATATTTATTATTTAAATATATAATAACCTATGATACATTTTATCATTTTTTTTTTCAGTTATACCTTGGAAATGAAAAGATGGTCAAAATTATTTGCAGACCGACCCATGAAACCAAGAGAACTGGCAGCTTTTTGGATTGAACATGTCCTGCGGAATGATGATCATCAGTATCTCAAACCTCCAGAGACCTTCCTAAGCACATTAGAACTTTTCTTTTTTGATTTAAAAACAATATTAGGAATTGTTTTGGGACTAATGATCGCATCCTTAGCTACTAGCTTCTTCAACAGGAAGAAACAGAAAAAACTAAAAACGAACTGATTGAAGTTTTTCATTATAGTTAAATATAATCACAGATGCAAAATAAAATTAAATCCCTTTTGCATCTATGATAGTTAATGACTGACACTGCCTCGATTATTTATTTTAATAAACGAAATGAAATAATTTCTTTCAATGTTGTTAAATGTTAGTAGATATTGCTAAACAGTTTAAGGGAGAACCATTTAATGTGCATACTATATATTATTACTGAAATGACAATCGGCTTTTGAATTATTGCAGGTTTTTGAGAAAATGTTTTTACAAATTCAGTAAGGTGTATTTAACAGGTTTTGAGTATGTCCATGTCCCTTCATAAGCTCTGCAGACAAGGTTCTCCCTTAAGTTGTTTGCCTATAATATTCACTTATAGTGTTATGATTGTATATTTTAATAGTTTTTTTTATTTTGTCAAATATTGGTTAAGTTTCTTACTAGTAGTATTATGAAGTTTTAACAGCCTCTCAGGGGGAAAGTGACAATCATCAACCAGAACACTCGTCAATTATTATGAAATATTCAATAAACATTAAATTTTGATGACAATTGTATGTAAATGATTTTATTATATTCAATGACTTAAAAATTGAATTTTCTGTTCAAAGTTATTAATGTTTTGCTGTTGATACCACATTTAGTTATAATATCAATTATTTAAATGACAAACTTAGAGAGCATCATTTGATAGCTCGTAAAATGAATTCTATATCATTTCGTTCAATCCACAATATATTTTATATTCAGTGTAATACAGGATTGAAAATTTTTTGTTTCAAGATTTTAATTATAAGTTTGTTTATAACGTTATAATATAAAAATCATTTAAATTGTTTAATAATTTTTTATATGAAGTCTTTGAAAAGATTATTCAACAATATTCTGTAATTTAGAAAAAAAAAAGTTCCTATAATGTAAGAGAGGAATAAAGTATTAAGCTTTGTTATCTGCCTTAAATCTAAACCCTTTAGTTTATTTCTTGTTGAGTTGAAATGTATACTTTTGTTAGGTTATTAATATTGCCGAGAAATATTAAATCACTTTGGAACTTTAAATTACAGCCAATTTTATTGATATATTTTTAATGATCGAGAACATATTCATTAAAATTTATAACTGTAGCATGATGTTGTAATTGAAATAAATCTGTAAATTAAAAATTATAGCATAAATATTAATTTTAATGGAATTACTTAGGTACAAGAGAGAATTCAGGTACAATAAAATTAAAAAGTTGTCCAATTATGGTGAGTTGCTAATTCATATAGTATATACATCACTATGTAAGTTGCTAATTCAATATATACATCACTATGTAAGTTGCTTATTCACATAGTATTTACATCACCATGTGAGTTGCTAATTCACATAGTAAATACATCACTATGTGAGCTGCTAATTCACGTAGTATATACATCACTATAGTAGATAATATCTATTAAAACAAACAAAAGAGAGTAAGATGGAACTGGTAAATATAATAAATAAATGAATGAATTGATAAAAACTAATACATTGCTATATTTATTTTATTAGAATTTTATGTTTAGATGTTTGGAATATACATATATTTTGTTTCTTATAAGAAAGTCTGCAAACATTATTGTTCTCAATATTCCCGTTGGTACAAAACATATTTTTATTTAAGTTGATAATCGATGTCAATATTTCATTGTCAAGTCAGAAATGCATTGATTGATACACTAGAAAACCATAAAATATGCATTGGGATTGTTCCTAAATAGAAAACAATTGGTGCATCTGAAATAAAATATATTGTAAATTGCAAATTCACATTATCTTATATTGTTTGCACATTATCTTATGCTTGTATCTCACAAATTTTGGCCTAAATGTCATAGTATTAATACATTAATTGATTTATTAAATGCTTTTGAATATCTAAAATTAAAGAATTTTATCAAATCAATTGAGCAATTTATCGGAAAAAAATTTTCTACTGGTCAAGGCTACGATTTTTGTCGGAAGGGGCAAGCTTGTTTTTTTTTTTCTTCTGCTATTTTTTCACTTCCCTTCTGTTTTCACCGGCTCCACCTAATAAAAATTGATAATTTATAATCAGCATTATAGGTAATTTATTTAAAAATAAATATCACTATAATTAACTCATGTCATAGATTGAATTAAAGTAGCAACAACCAAATAGTACAAAGAAAAATTATTTTCTTGAGATAAAAAAAACCGGCCCTACATTCCGTTACTAATAGTTTTTTTTTTTTTTTTTTTTTTTGGTATTTACACAGTCTGCCACACTGAAAGGCATTGGCACTAGGGCTATAGTACTCATTCACACAATATGTGCATAAGAAAGGAAAAAAAAAATATATATATATAAATAAAAAGATAAAGTAATATACAAAATAAGTAAAATAACAGATTAGCCGAATAATAACAAAATAAATAAAACACATACACACCTATGTACAATACTTACATTGGCCCAGGGGCACTAGCGGATCCAGGATTTAATTTTGGGGGGGGCTTCAGCCCGGAAGCTTTTTTTTTCATAAAAATAACGATATTTACTTTGGAAAAACAGAAAGAAATTAACTACCTATATGAAATGATGTTTAAGTGATTCCTTAAGTCCTTTTAAATGTAATTAAACCAACAATAATACTTTAAGAGGTATTTTTAAAATTTTTTTTCCCATAAAACGTGGTTATGTTTTACCATTTTGGGGGGGCTTCAGCCCGAAAGTCTCCCCCTCCCCCCGTAGATTCGCCGGTGCCCAGGGGACTCCAAATCAAGCTTTGTCCCTCAATTGTGTAAGCCAAAGCTGGACTCCAGGAGATCCCAGTGCTTCTCTCCCAGCCGTGCTTCTCTCACTGGTATAGTAAGGAGACTGATGGAGGGCACTAGAGCAACAGACGCTCAAGACATGAGTGAAGAATCTGGCCAGTGCCAGTACTCCAATATATACATTTTTACAAAAGGTCGCGGGGTCACTGCCGTTTTAACCTCCGAGGAGGATTGTAGGGATGACAGGAGGTAGATAGAGACTGTGCTACAGGATTAGGATGATGAGTGAGATTCTGGTGGAATTTGGAAAATTTGTCTGGGATTAGGTCAAGCACAAATGGGATATTAAGGTCATTGTGTAGGGTTTTATTGGTTACATAAAAGGGAGCATCGACTATTGTTCGAAGAACTTTAGACTGGAAGGATTGAAGTTAGAAAGTTTTGCTGTCCCTCACAGTTCGAGTCCGTCGGTCCAGATAGGTTTCAGGTTTGTATTGTGGATTAATAGTTTGTTCTCAACTGAAAGTTGAGATTTTCTATTGAGTAGTCTATATAATTGGCCATATCGTCGGCTAGACTGTTGTCTTTTAAGTCTGGTATGTGGGTTCCATGTTAGTATTTTGTCTAGAAAGTAACTAATAGTAAAATAATTTATAAAGATAGTTCCCAAAGAAACCAGTTCTCTTTTTATTAGTTTTTCAAATATTCAAAAACTATACATTTCGGAATATTATAAATTAATTACAAGGATATTTTAATTGATTAACAAAGCTCTCTAAGTTCAGCTAATAAGCTGAAAAATATTAATTGAAAATAAGAGTAATATTTCACATTTTACTGAAACATTAAGAAAAACGTGATGAGTGTCCCATAGAAACCTTGGAACCTTCAGGAATGAATTATGGTTTATCTCAAGAATGATACATTTTTGTGCTTTAAAACACAAGGTATGATAAGTTTCAAAGGAACCAGGTCTCGATGCCCATCACAAAATCTTTAAAACGCAATTAGTCCCATCTCAAATTATCGGTTACAAACAACTGACACTTATAACCATTTAAACTTAATCCAGTTTTAACAGACTATGTACACTGTACCACAACTGTCGTCTGACTCTGAACCCGGTTCTAAATGATATCCTAATTTCTCTTCTAAATGCCCCCTCTGTGAACGAATGTCGTAAAATTGTCGGTTTTGCTCGACAAGGGTGGATACACCGTTTTAATTTGCTACATCCAGCATAGACAATGATCCGTCTAATTTATTTGTGGTCAGTTTTATTAATGTTATTGTTTATAATTTTCCTTTATTATTATTTCTTAGATATAAATTGTTCAAAATATTTATTATTTTATATTTTATTTGTTGTTTTATTATTTATCAGTTATTCATGTATATGAAATTATTATAAAGTCTTTATTTGTACTGTACCTGTAAAACATACAATTTTCGGCAGACGAATAATCATGCCGAAATTTATAATTTATGCATATTTAATAAAACATTTCTCATTCAAATTATCGATTACCAATGTCTGAGTTTTGAAACCTAATATTTTCATAGTATTTTATAAATATTAATTTTATCAGTATTATAGTAAATATTTAAGATTTGAATTGGGATTCCTCACTTCTCCATGAAATTCCCTTTCTTTGATATAGCATTTCTAAACCTATTGTAAACATTTCCGTTTCAAATGTAACTTTTGCCATTTCAAATGTAGCCCATTTCAATTCAAATTTTACCTTTAAAGTGCTACAATTGATTTCGAAAGGGTCAGATAGATTTGAAATGGAAAAAGGTTATAATTGGCTTAGAAATGCTATATACCATTAATCGAAATCCATCGTTTCTGAAGGCATGATTTCTTTTGAAACATCTCTTTAAAATGATTTAAAAAACTCAATGTCTCGGGTTTGAATCCAGCTGATGTCAAGTAATTTTTCATCAGCCGTGGATCCCCCCTGGGATCAGAAGACCCTCCTGGCCATATACAACCTCTAGAAAGTGGGTATTCTTAATTAAATAATTAATTAAGGAGGAAAACCTGGAGGTTGAGCGTGATCCTGCCCGACCACCTTCCTGCACAACAGTTGGCCTTGAAATAGTACTTCCTAACAAAGTACGGAACCCCGGAAAGTTTTAGTTTTACAGGTTGTAGTGGAACGAATTTAAAAAATACAAGTTAAAAAATACAAAAAAATATATATAAAAAAGTTTATACTGTTCAAAAATCACGCAGGCTATTTTTTTTTTCTAGCTCCTTTTTGTGTTAGATTATTGAGTGTGGGAATAAACAATGCTTTCTTTTGGTTTATACCAGAAGAAATGTCACTCTTATATAAACATACATCTTTATAAAAAAATACAATCCAGAAATTTCAACATGTAATATTTAAGGATTCTGCAAGAGATATTTTGGACTACTCGACAAGTTTTACTTGTAAATATCCCTTGATAAGCTAGAATATTAACAGGTATCCATCCATGTTTAATACATTCCTCCCTGCCAATCATTTGTTAGCGATGGACTGTAACCGTATCAAATGAGAGCCGAAAAGCTGGCCGGATGACACGCGATCCTAAATCAAAATTCTGCTGAAGGACAGAATGACATGCACTACTCCCCATTAGTGATGGGATGACATGCACCATGTCATAGGCCTGTCCCATGGCTCTCAGTAAAATACTGAATGAATGACAGCTGTTTTATCCGGAGTGCATCTTCATTAATGCATCCAGTCCACTTTACTAATGTGCGTGTCTTTGAATTATCTCCGTGCTGATTTTTAAAATTATTTATTTTATTATCCTACGCTATTTGCGCGTTGCGCGTTAGCGCATCTAGCATGTTTGATGTACTGATTATTTTCCAGATAATTTGTTTGATAGATTTCAACTGTATTATTATTGATGGAATAGGTATCTTAGCCATTTTCTTTTTATTCTGCGTCGAGTAGGAAACAGGAAGGAAGATATTGAAAGGACTAGTGTCTAGAGGTTAATTTGTGTTGAAAAATGAAATGGAGTATATTCATTTAGTGGTTACAGTGAAGGTTATAGAGATTGTGTCGTTATCGAAAAAACGTAATGAAATGCCCAATGAAAGGTGGTCATGTAAATATAGAATGTATAAAGTGTTTTGCGCATATTCTACAGCAAAAATTAGTTGTATTAATAGACTACAATTAATATTTCTTATGCGCTTTGTATTATTTTTTAAATTTAAGTGGTGGACATTTCCAGCCAGGCGCCTCTGGGCAAATGTCCGGGTTCCCCTCCCCTGAGCCCCGCACTGCTCACTATGGAACGTGACGAAGCAAAGAAGAGCATGGTAAGTGGGAATATGATATTGAATGGTCTTGAAAACAATCGAAACCTCCTGGCAACTGCAAAATGAGCTTGACTGGAAAAAGTAACAATGCTGCAGAATTCCAGATAGTTAGAGACAGAGATTTGACTTCATTGTTTGGAAAATTTAACACGGGACGAAAAAAGAAGTCTAGTTTCATTTTTTCAAGCCAATGAATCTTCGAAATCGCATGAGGCTCAGAAAAGAAATGATCTACACATCAGCAGGTTACGTAGAACTTACCAAGCATTCGTGAATCAAACCATGTCTATATTAAGTTGTGCACGTTAAAACCAAACTTTCATGGACTACTCCAAAATGGTGCGCATGCGTTCGAATGCGCGCTTTCAAGTCAAATGTTTTACAAATTTTCATTTGAAGTATCGTTTGTCTACATTATGAAAACTGGCTTTGTTCCTATCATTATTTGATTGTTGTTAAAAAAGTTATGGTGGTTAATATAATAAATTTGATTACTTTTTCCTAACTAATACCTGTTTTTCGAAGTAGCTAAAATGCTATAAGTTAGAGCTGATGGTACTAAAACATATTTGGCAGAAATACGATAAAAAAAAGCATTACATCTTTGTCTTAAGCCTGCAAAAAATATAACCGAAATATAATATATTGAACCGAAAATATAATGCTCATAGGAAAAACATCACGCAGTTATTTTCGTTTGCTGAACATTTATAGTTGTTGTTTTTACAGGCTTTTGCAGTGTGGCTGTCGATATACAATAAATAAAAATAAAATGATTTAAAGATAAATAATCACAGGCATACTTATATACACTGCTTACAATCATGTGAGGGAACTCCAATACAAGCTTGTCCCTCCAACTACAGAGCTAGCACTCTAGGAAATCCCTCCGCTTCTCTCCCAACCATGTCACTAATGCCAGAGTAGATTTAGCGATAGCGCAAATTTTTAGAACTAATTTTTTTTAAAATATTTTTTTAAGTGTAAAATCTAATACAACTTAAGCGGCTTTTATAGTTTAGTACTTTTATAATATTCATAAACATCAGAATTCTTTATAAATTCCTTATCTAAGCACTATATTATATTTGTAGATAAT